ATCAATTTGCCTACAGAATAGTGTGCTATAAGATCAGTTTGCCACCAGAACAGTGTGCTATAAGATCAATTTGCCTACAGAATAGTGTGCTATAAGATCAATTTAAAGCCAGAACAGTGTGCTATAAGATCAATTGCCAACAGAATAGTGTGCTACAAGATCAGTTTACCACCAGAATAGTCTGCTATAAGATCAATTTGCCACCAGAACAGTGTGCTATACGATCAGTTTGCCACCAGAACAGTGTGCTATAAGATCAGTTTGCCAACAGAACAGTGTGCTATAAGATCAGTTTGCCAACAGAATAGTGTGCCATCAGATCAGTTTGCCACCAGAACAGTGTGCTATAAGATCAGTTTGCCACCAGAACTGTGTGCTATAAGATCAGTTTGCCACAAGAATAGTCTGCTATAAGATCAATTTGCCACCAGAACAGTGTGCTATAAGATCAATTGCCAACAGAATAGTGTGCTACAAGATCAGTTTGCCACCAGAATAGTTTGCTATAAGATCAATTTGCCACCAGAACAGTGTGCTATAAGATCAGTTTGCCAACAGAACAGTCTGCCATCAGATCAGTTTGCCACCAGAACAGTGTGCTACAAGATCAATTTGCCAACAGAATAGTGCGCTATAAGATCAATTTAAGGCCAGAACAGTATGCTACAAGATCAGTTTGCCACCAGAACAGTGTACTATAAGATCAATTGCCAACAGAAAAGTGTGCTACAAGATCAGTTTGCCACCAGAATAGTCTGCTATAAGATAATTTGCCACCAGAACAGTGTGCTATAAGATCAGTTTGCCACCAGAACAGTGTGCCGTCAGATCAGTTTGCCACCAGAACAGTGTGCTATACGATCAATTTGCCAACAGAATAGTGTGCTATAAGATCAATTTAAAGCCAGAATAGTGTGCTACAAGATCAGTTTGCCACAAGAATAGTCTGCTATAAGATCAATTTGCCACCAGAACAGTGTGCTATAAGATCAGTTTGCCACCAGAACAGTGTGCTATACGATCAGTTTGCCACCAGAACAGTGTGCCGTCAGATGAGTTTTCCACCAGAACAGTGTGCTATTACATCAATTTGCCAACAGTATAGTGTGCTATAAGATCAATTTAAAGCCAGAACAGTGTGCTACAAGATCAGTTTGCCACCAGAACTGTGTGCTATAAGATCAGTTTGCCACCAGAACTGTGTGCTATAAGATCAGTTTGCCACCAGAACTGTGTGCTATAAGATCAGTTTGCCAACAGAACTGTGCGCTATAAGATCAGTTTGCCAACAGAATAGTGTGCCATCAGATCAGTTTGCCACCAGAACAGTAAGCTATAAGATCAGTTTGCCAACAGAATAGTGTTCTAAAAGATCAGTTTGCAACCAGAACAGTGTGCTATAAGATCAATTTGCCTACAGAATAGTGTGCTATAAGATCAGTTTGCCACCAGAACAGTGTGCTATAAGATCAATTTGCCTACAGAATAGTGTGCTATAAGATCAATTTAAAGCCAGAACAGTGTGCTATAAGATCAATTGCCAACAGAATAGTGTGCTACAAGATCAGTTTACCACCAGAATAGTCTGCTATAAGATCAATTTGCCACCAGAACAGTGTGCTATACGATCAGTTTGCCACCAGAACAGTGTGCTATAAGATCAGTTTGCCAACAGAACAGTGTGCTATAAGATCAGTTTGCCAACAGAATAGTGTGCCATCAGATCAGTTTGCCACCAGAACAGTGTGCTATAAGATCAGTTTGCCACCAGAACTGTGTGCTATAAGATCAGTTTGCCAACAGAATAGTGTGCCATCAGATCAGTTTGCCACCAGAACAGTAAGCTATAAAATCAGTTTGCCAACAGAATAGTGTTTTAAAAGATCAGTTTGCAACCAGAACTGTGTGCTATAAGATCAATTTGCCTACAGAATAGTGTGCTATAAGATCAGTTTGCCACAGAACAGTGTGCTATAAGATCAATTTGCCTACAGAATAGTGTGCTATAAGATCAATTTAAAGCCAGAACATTGTGCTATAAGATCAGTTTGACACCAGGACAGTGAGCTATAAGTTCAGTTTGCCACCAGAACAGTGTGTCATAAGATCAGTTTGCCACCAGAACATGGAGCTTACTACCACAAATGACATCCGAATAACATTTAGTCAAAATGGAACCGGAAACGTAACGCCGCTAATTGGACCCGGGTCCCTTTAGACTCAATGCTATTTGGATGTCATTTGTAGTAGTTATTTTTAGTTAAACTTAAGAATTAAGTTTACAAACATATAGTTTATTCAATTATCTTTCATTTGATACCAAATTTTGTCTTAAAACCTAACAATAATTTTTGTTTTCTAAATTTTAATCCCAACGTCTAACTTCTCGGACCCGGGTCCGAATAGCCACTTCGAAACACCTATCCTTACTTATTAAATAATGCTTTTATAATGAAATATAATTTGAACATAGTTTTCCTATGTTTCATGCTCGGCAAAAACTATGATTAGAATTGTAGACCTTGCTATTGATGTAAAGGTAGCTTAATACAGTCTTATTAAAATGTCCAAAAAAAATTGTGAATTTGTAAAAAAATAAATGAATACAAATATCTATATGTGCGAACAATAGGAAGTAAGACTTTGGCTGATAATCAGAATCGGCTAATTACGATATTTATAATAGAAATTTGTAAGCGATAAAGACGATTAGCCTTAAATATACGGATCGTCAAATACATTGAGCGTAACGATATTTCATAGATTTCAACAGTTGTATTCGGATAAGGCACCAGTTACTTTTTTTTAACTGTTTAAAAATAACAATTTAGTCGTTTTTAATTTTAAAATTATATAATCATTCTATTTTTTTACCCATTTTTGCTCCGGGGGCACTTGACTTTGCCCAGGGGCAAATACTCCTCCCCGGGGAGATGCCTGGAAGAAACCCTGGTCACCAGATCAGGCAGACTCAGAGGATGTTAAAAACCCTGATCACCAGATCAGGCAGACTCAGAGGATGTTAAAAACCCTGGTCACCAGATCAGGCAGACTCAGAGGATGTTAAAAACCCTGGTCGCCAGATCAGGCAGACTCAGAGGATGTTAATGGGGATTCAGGAGGATGTGAATAAATTACCAAGAGACCAGGCGAGCAAGAGACAGGCAAGATCGAGACAGACAAGAGACAGGCAAGAGACAGACAGGAGAGAAACAAGAGAGAGACAAGAAACAGAAAAGAGACAGGCAAGAGAGACAGGAGACAGACAAGAGCCATCAACAAAGTAGCACATTATTTTTGAGGCTGCTCGGGTTACCGGAAATTTATTTGAAAGAAATTTCGTCAATGGAAAATTGATTGACGGAAAATTGATCGAAGGAAAATTTGGTCGAATCTTTTGTTCAGTTCACACGGTGAAATTTTCGTCAAATTTCTTTTGAAAAGCATTACTCTATACAGTAAAACAAAATAATGCGTTCAAAAAAGACATTTGACTTGGAAGTATGTATGTTGATAAACTGTGAAACGAGTTGAAAGCATGTAGGCGTATGTTGATAAACCTTTGAAACAGACATTAAAGTAAATTTTTCAAAATAATTAATGATAATGACCTGGAAAAATCACGGCAAGATATAGAAATATCCTCATAGACCTGTGATCATTTCTTTGATATTTTTATTTTTATGTACCAAATGTCTCAAAATGGTTTCTGACGCTCTTCCCATTTATTAAATACTTTTTTTCTACAAATTAATATTACTAATAATAAATTTAATAAGTTAATTTAACATTACGTTAGCTGTTATATATACCCGAGACCCGTGAATTTAAATAATTCCCCTTAAATAGTCAACTCGTCTAAGGACTATTAAAACATTCCCCTTATTGGCCAACAATTCCCAGGAGCATGGGCCCATTCATCCAAATCACCTTCACCTTTTAAAATCCCTCGATCCGCCCATGGTTGGGGAGCAGTAGCCGAGGACCCAGACCAAACGCTCTCAGGTTAAGAGGAGTCCGGATAGAGGGGCCATCCCAGTGGCGTAGTTAAGGACGCCACATGGGCAGACCAAGATTTTTAGTTGTGACTAAATAGCAATGTCAATGTTGTTTTAATTTTATAAATTAAGAGATGAGATTGATATATGTAATTAATTGTTTACGATACCAAAATTGTTGCCGGTATGCCGTACCGGCGCGTACCGTCATGAAAAAGCGCACATTGAATGAAGAAGAAAATCATTTTTGAAGTATCATTTAAAGTGCCTGGCCGCAAGCGACCGCGGGTTGCCCGATGGGGTCTTTACGGCACCCAGGTCGAAAACCACTGTTGTTATTAACTGTAGCCACTGTACTATAGGCTAAATCAACTTTTGGTCAGTGTTGAGTTTTCCGTTAAATACTAAATAGAAGAATTGATACCATTTAATATTTTTTTAGATTTTTATGTATTATAATTTCATCGCATTTTCGTTTCTTATTTAGTGTGTTGAATGTCTTGTTTCTGCGCTCCTAGCTTTCTTTCTGCATTCTACGATTTCTACTTTTACTTCTACTTCAAATCATGGCTTACCTAAATCGTTACTACTGCACCTCTCTAAGAATCTAACAAAATAAGTACCAGAATCGATAAAAAGAAATATTATATCGAGAATTCTCGTGTCTTTTAGGACAGCGCAAGGTGTGTTTGCGAGTGTGTTGGGTGTGGCTATCACAAATAAAGTCGCGTTTTTAAGTCTATATTTTAAACATGGTTACATTAAAAATATTTTCTTAATTTTAAAATATTCAACCTGTGTAGTTCATCGGTTATCGTCTTTTGAAACTCCAGTAATCGAATACAAATTGTTAAATGTTAACTAATTTTTCATTGGATGTTTTTGTCCAATCAAATTTCGTGTGTCTGTTAATAATTTCGTAGGGGATTATGGACCTAAAGATTTTTCAAGGGTGTGTTATTGTTTTTATTTATTGAAATTTATCGTGTATTTCTATTTACATAGGCCTTAGGGCCGTTCGGATATATTTCTGCAAAATGGAAACTTATACAGACTTTGAAAATGACAGTAATGAGGTCAGTTTTGCCGATTTTCTTAAGTTTGAAGATGACGAGAATATGGAAGATGATATGAGTTCCATAACACAGGTCTGTGTTGATGAAGATCCTGAAGAAGAAACAGTCAGAAAACTAACCCGATCTAAATCAGTAAATGATATTAGTGGTACAGCCCAGAACAAGTCAACATTTGATGGGTCGGGAGGCAGTGAGCCGCAATCTATTAATGAAAGATCTAAATCAAAGTCTACAAGCATAAATTTTGAGATACAGAACAGGTTGGACAATAATGTTAACGATGGGTAGGCCAATTTTTCACATTCTTGATTCTTTTTTTTTGCCCTCATTGTTTTAACTTCGTGTATGTGTGTAAAATAATATTAAAAATTGAGAATTGACAATTCACTTTTGCAGACAAGGCAAAGTTGTAGGGCTATACTATACATGGACTTCCTTATTTTAACTAAAACTAGTGCTAGTAGGAAAGCAACAAATAAATAAGTATAGTATAACTTATATGTATAAGTATAGAAGTGGCTATTCGGACTGTGACTATTGGATTACGAGAAATGAGAGGTTGGATTTAAAAAATATTAAAATATTATTGTTGGGTCTGTAAGATAAAATTTGGTATTGAATGAAAGATAATTGAATGGACTATCTCTATTCTCTATGTTTGTAACCTTATTTGTCTTCAGTTAAACTAAAATAAACTACCATAAATGACATCCGAATAGCATTTAGTGAAAATCAAACGGATACGCATTGCCGCTATTCGGACCTAGGTCCCATATTATGTCGTGTAGTACTGGTAATTAGTAATAGTATAGCTTGGCCTATTCAATAGGGCTTATCATTTAATGGCAGAAATCTATTAATAGAATTGCTGCAATCATCTGGGTACTCGGGTCAGACAAAATGTCAACACTAACACTGTTCAGTACTAATATTATAGCAAAGTGGCCCTTAACCTTAATCAAAACTTGTTTACAACCAAATTTTACTAAATATTTTACTCAATTTTTCTTTTACTGCTTTACTATAGTCAACAATATGTAGGGTTGCCAGGTCTGCTTCCAAAAAATAGCGGACAAGCGCGCACAGGTGGGGGGGAGTGTTTTAAAAGTATTTAAAAAATTATTTTTTTTTACAATTTAAGTATATATTTTCTTACAAACATTACTTAAAAATAGAATGTAAATAATTGGTAAATAGGGAAGGAAAATGCCACTATTTTATCAGTCGCCGCCATCTTGGTTGACACCTCACGTGAAGTGGCTGAAAGTAGTGCAAAACACGTGTTTTGAAAAAGGAAGGCGAGGGAGGAAAAATGTTTTAATTTTTCAAAATGAAAGGAAGGAAATAAATAAATTTAATAGCATTTTTTTGAAGATCTATGCCTAACCCGAACCCTAAATCACTAAATCTATCCCTATGCCTAACCCGAACCCTAAATCACTAAATCTATCCCTATGCCTAACCTGAACCCTAAATCACTAAATCTATCCCTATACCTAACCCGAACCCTAAATCACTAAATCTATCCCTATGCCTAACCTGAACCCTAAAATCACTAAATCTATCCCTATGCCTAACCCGTACCCTAAAATCACTAAATCTATCCTTATGCCTAACCCGAACCCTAAATCGATCCCTAAAACTAACCCTAAAGCCACAAGTAAAACACATGGAATTAACACACTGTAGCAAGAAAACTCAAAAAATGGAAAAAATCAATAAAAATTGGCGAAAAATAATAAGAACATAAATAAATAATGAAAATCCAACTTACAGTTTCATGAAATACACTTTTACACACTTTATTTCAGATTGCACAAATAATATCCAGATAATGAATGGAGCACAAGAACCGGCAAGCCCGGCCAAAATGTAGGCAATATGGTGTCACAAATAACTATGCAAATTAGCCAACCAATCATAATAAAATAATTCTCTAAAAATAAACAAAGGGAAGTGACTCTACCTAAAATACGTTGTGGCATTTTCAATGATGAACAGCCTAATAATTTTATAAACTTTATTAAATGTCTTGTGAAACAATTGAATATCATAGAATGATAATCATTTTTTTCGGAGAATTGAGTTCAATCAATATTTGATCTTTGCCTCATTCTAACTAATGAAAAAAAGACAACACGCGATTCTCCTATCCTTATTCTCTTAGACTGTACAACTTTAGATTACGTACCATTTCATCAAAAAGCTTTTGAATTAAAAAAATGTCCACTATTTTGTGAAAAAAAAATAATAACATAATGGAAAAAATGCAGACTGTTCACTAAAATAGTGGACACCTGGCAACCCTAACGATATACATTTTGTAAAATCAGACATTTCGTGTGCTGGATGGCCGAGTGTTCTAAACTGACTCAATGCCAGTAGCTGGTGGTCTGTAGCTCATTCCCTACCAAAGCCAACATCCCAAGCACTCCGGGTGGATGGGACTCGCTAGCCTTGGACTAAGAAAAGGCAAACTCGGCTTTCAAAATAAAGAAAAAAAATAGTAAAAGGACTTCATTGCACATAAGGCACAGTTAACAGTAACTCTTGACCAGGGTGACCAAACGTCCTGTAAAGACGGGATTTTCCAGTTTTTTCACGATCGTACCCGTGTCCCGAAAAAGTCTTTTGAGATGCCTAAATGTCCCGTTTCTAAAACCAAACACATTTTCAGATCACTAAAACTTCTCACCGGTATTTATAATATAACTTCAAATAATATTTTGGGTAGCTGTGTAGCCAGTGCCAGTAGTGATGTGGGCTCGCGTGATCCCTGCACTGTCCCCCCTCTCCACCCCTCTGCCGATGCCGCGTGAACGGGAGTGTCCCTGCCATAGATATATGTATAGGTCTCAAAATAGTGAAAATGGGCATGTTTCAATAAACAGTTTCTGGCAGAGGCCGCCGGACTCCTATTTAGCTGGAGGGGATCCCCGTGTGTCCAGTTTTTTCCAGTTCATATTTGGTCACCCTACCCTAGATACAAAGATCGACCGCACATGCATGGTGTTATTATTATTATTATTGGTGTTTTATATAGCGCTGGGCTCACAACGCTGTACATACAATTTAACAAACATAATCATGAACTTAAAAAATTAACATACATTAATTAAATAAAACAAAACAAAGGTATATTCATTTCCTAAAACTCATAAAAGTGTACAAGATGGGTTAGGAGTCACATAGAAAGAGCTAATGAGGCAATGACGTGATATAAAATACTTGTTTTAAGAAATATTTGTCCAACATTCTAAAAATAGTAACATTATGTAGTACACGTACAAGTTTTCCGGTCTTAGAAATGACAAGCCCTATTTGATTTTGATTTTCCAATTATAAAAATTGTTCACTGGCACTGGCTAAAACTAATAATAATAACTACTCATACTAATACTCATAATAACAAAACAACAAATAAAAACACTTAGACTTAGGGCGATAGATCTTAGTCTTAATTATTAGCCTCTTAATATTTTATTTCTCATCACCGTTCTCTATTTGAATATTTTTAAAATTAAATTTAGGCCCTTGTCTCATCAATAATTTAATGTAGACCTACTAGCCAGTGCCATAGGCCTAAACAGTGCCATAGGCCTAGCCAGTGCCATAGGCCTAGACAGTGTCATAGGCCAAGACCTATTAACAATTATAATTCCTGCTGAGATGGAGAATTATTGTCATTTTTTTATTATTTAATTTAAACCAAAAGTGGTTAAAGTATTGAAGGTACATAAGATTCATACCAGTAGTCATAGTGAACCAACAGTGGCTATAGTATTGAATGAACATAACATTCATACCAGTAATCATACTGAACCAACAGTGGTTAGAGTATTGAATGAACATAACATTCATACCAGTAGTCATAGTGAACCAACAGTGGTTAAAGTATTACATGAACATAACATTCATACCAGTAGTCATAGTGAACCAACAGTGATTAAAGTATTGAATGAACATAACATTCATACCAGTAATCATACTGAACCAACAGTGGTTAAAGTATTGAATGAACATAACATTCATACCAGTAATCATACTGAACCAACAGTGGCTATAGTATTGAATGAACATAATATTCATACCAGTAGTCATACTGAACCAACAGTGGTTAAAGTATTGAAGGAACATAACATTCATACCAGTAATCATACTGAACCAACAGTGGCTAAAGTATTGAAAGAACATAAGATTCATACCAGTAGTCATACTGAACCAACAGTGGCTAAAGTATTGAATGAACATAAGATTCATACCAGTAGTCATAGTGAACCAAGTTAAGATTTAGGCTACCTATTTAAAATTTATTATTATAGACTGTTAATTAAGTATTTTAGTGGTTTATTAATATCATATGACATGTATTTTAGCTTTATTAGGATTTGAATTATTTACTCTTCTGATGGCAAAGTAACATTTAATTAAGTGAATGATATTTATTTTACTGTAAGTAGCACTGGTGACTAACATTAACAGTGTTATACAAAGCCTACAAATAATTTAATATTGCAATTACAGTAGAGCCTCGATTATCCAAAATAATGGGTTATATGAACTGCCCCTTTATTTTTATTATTATTATTGATGTAAAAAATTTGAATGGCATAGAGCATTGGCGTAAAATCACCATAAAAAAACAATTTCAGCCCCTGTTGCACGATCCAGGTAATCTAGATATGAGAAGTGACCAGACTAGGAAAAGGCCGTATGCAAGCTTGTTAATTAAGGTCATCTTGTATTATTTATGTGTATTAAATATTTACTTTTTATATCCCTTTAAGAAGGTACTATGAAACACATTGTCGTTAGGATTAACATAATACAAATACTATGTTGATACTTGTTTAGTAATATCTGATTTTAAAAGGACACATTTAGTAGACAGTGTTTATCTCACGTTGAAAGAGATGGAGCTTGGGGGGGACTCGATGTGATCGTGTACTCTGACTCAAGATCTGCTCTCGAGATCTTGAGAAAGAGACCAGGTACCACTCACCTTGTTGACGTCATAATTTATGATGTGTACAAGATCGGTGACCTAGAAGGCAAGGTGGCAGTGCAATGGATCCCAGGTCACGTCAACGCCAGTGGCAATGAGAAAGCAGACACCCTGACAAAAACCGGGGCTGCCCAGCCTCAGCCAAAAGTACCAATAACATTTGGGAATAAGGAACTGGCTGGCAGACCACTTTAGGACGAAGTGGTACAGGCAATGGGTAGTCAATACGACTGTCAGAGGCGTCTATTTGAATTTGCCGCCTAGCAGACAGGACCCATGATGGGCCGTAGACAACAGAGTTTAGTGATGCAGATGCGCACAGAGCACCACCCCATAGGCACATACTTCTGGCGGCTAGATAACAACAGGGACCCTAACTGTTGGCATTGCAGCCTGGTTCCGGAGACACTAGCGCACATGTTGACCGAATGTCCCTCATTAGATTCTTGGGGGAAGCCAGGACGATTGGAGAGCCCTACATGAGGAAAATGTTGTATGGCTCAGCTCAGCAGACGGAGCTGGTAGACAATGTAATAAGAGAGTAATCTCAGACCCTCTTCAGAAAATGTGTGTTAGTAAAGAATTTGAAAATAACAACTTAGTTTTTTATTACATTATTGTCAAATTGATGTTGAATTTTTCTGTAAGAACAACTCAGTGTTATATTATCCAAAATATGTTATCCGTTCCGTACCCCGGTCACAATTAGCTCTGTAAATCAACGCTCTTCTTCAATTTTAGGCTTTGAAGTAAGTCTTTGATATTTGTCAGAAGCTCATTGGAAATCATTTTGATCTTGCCAATATTACCAGCAGTTATCAACAACAATACATTGTTACATAGCAAGGTGCAATAAACGTACAACATAAGAGCATGCACCTTCAAAGTGGAGCCGCCAAGAGAGTTAAAACTATATTCACAAGACGCGAAAATGTTTTTAAAAACACAAAGTTTGTCAACTCAATTCTTACTACTTAAAAAATCACTTATAAGTTATCACTGCCAGTTTTCTAAACCAGAACAAATTTTTTTTTAAAATTTCACTTTTGATTATACTTTTGATCTCAATGCCTTTTTTGTTAACATTATTCATTCAGGTTGCTGAAAATTTCATGGTTTGTCTGCACTAGTCACTTTACACAAAGCCCTCAATGTTGATAATCATCTATTAGGAAATCTATGAAGAAATCTATGAAGATCTCTACCTACTGAGGTTGGCCAAGAAATGCAAGTGTCTAACTCTGTGAAATATTCACTTATTTCAGTGAATACATCAACAGTTTTTTATAAGGGTTCAAACTTATTGAAAGTAAATCAATCTATCTAATTTTGCATTATAATTAACTCTGACCTAGTGCAAAATTGACCATTTACAAGCCTATTTGAACAAGAAAGGAGAAGAGATTACAGGCTGAGCTTGATAATCTTCAAGTCAATTGCTACAGACTTCAAGGAGGCAGTAATCAGACTTCACCGAGGCAGTACTCGGTCTTGTCTATTATTTGTTCACTATCTAAAATTAAAAAATCTAGGTGCACATGAATAGTTTGGACTTTTATTTTTTGAAATCACCCTTCAGCTTGAAAGGACTTTTCTTATTACATTGTTTCAGATATATTCATCACACAATATCTGAAGATGAGATTCTCATGCAAATTAATCCGGGGAGCAGCCGAATGCCATCGAATCCATCACATGCAACACTGACAATTGAGAGTCAAAATCCCAAAACCAAAGTCAAAGAGGTCACCAGGTATCATTAAATAATATTTTATATTTTGTTCATAATATATATATCCCCAAAAAAGGTAACCTACGGCTATACCAAAACTATCGCACAATTAGCCTAATAAGCCATCCAAGCAAGGTCATGCTGAAGATCATATTGAACCAACTAAAACCACATGCCGAAAGAATCTTTGCTGAATAACAGGCGGGCTTCAGAAAAGGACAGGGCACTACTGAGCAGATTCTAAACCTGTGAATACTATGTGAGAATTATGCTCAACACCAACAAAACCTATACCACGTCTTTGTGGACTTCAAGAAAGCATTCGACAGGGTTTAGCATGCTGCTTTATGGGCCACCATGAGGAACTACAACATCAACACAAACCTAACCACCATGATATGCAACCTATATGATAAGGCCACCAGTGCAGTCTTCCTCAACAACAACATCTGAGAATGGTTCAAGACCACAGTTGGAGTACGACAAGGCTGCCTGATCTCCCCCACCCTATTCTACATCTTCCTAGAGAGAATTATGTCAGATGCTCTGGAAGCGCATGAAGGGACAGTCAGCATTGGTGGCAGAACAATCACCAACCTACGCTTTGCGGATGACATAGACGTGCTGGCTGGGAATGAAGAAGAGTTAGCCAACCTGGTAAAGCGTCTCGATAAGACCTCGTCGTCCTATGGCATGCTAATCAGTGCCGAAAAGACAAAACTGATGACAAATAATACCGCAGGCATCATCACTGAAATTAAGGTCGGGGAGGAAAGATTAGAGACTGTCGGCCGCTTCAAATACCTAGGAGCAATAGTCTCATAAGAAGGCTCCAGGATTGCGCAGACTACAACAGCACTAAAAAAGCTCAAGAAAATATGGAATGACAAAAATATAGCCCCCAGACCAAAATCAGGCTGATGCGCTCATTAGTGCTCTCCATTTTCGTGTATGCCTGCGAATCCTGGACATTAACAGCCGATCTTGAAAGGAAAATAAAGGCAATGGAGATGAGATGCTTCAGAAGCATTTTTGGCATCTGCTATAGGGACCATATCTCCAATGATACAGTGAAAGAAAGGGTTCGTCAGGCCATTGGGGAATACGATGACCTAGTGGTCACTGTGAAAAAACGCAAATTGCAATGGTACGGCCACGTAACAAGGAAACAAAGGCTTGCCAAAGAAATATTGCAGGGCACCACAAGAGGAGGGAGAAGAAGAGGAAGAAAAATAAAAAGGTGGGAGGATAACATCAAAGAGTGGACAGGACTAACACGGGGCGATGCAGTGCGTAGTGCTGGAGGCAGAGAGGAATGGAGGAGGATGGTTCACATGTCATCTGTGGCGCCCCAACGGTCAAAGGACTAAGGGACATGACGATGAGGAGGATGTATATATTATTTTTTGGCAAAATGATTCATTTTTTTTTTTTTTAAATCTGACTGTAAGTGGAGTGTTGGGTTAATTGGCCTTAAAGTAGGTCATCAAATACACATTTTACAGGCCAAATAAAATCACAAACTGTAAATGGAGTGTTGGGTTAATTTGCCCTGAAAGTAGGTCATCAAATACATATTTTACAGGCCGAATAAAATCACAAACTGTAAATTCAAAATCATTTAGGGTAAAAAAAATATTACATGCACACACCAACACATATACACACACACTTTTTGTTTTTACCTTTGGTGATCCAGATAAGAGTTAGATGGTTGTATTGACCATTGCCTGAGGTGATCAGGACAGGTTGTATTGATCATTGCTTGAGGTGATCCGAAGAAGTTGTATTAACCATTGATTGAGGTGATCCACAGAACTTGTATCGATCATTGCTTGAGGTGATCCGAAGTAGTTGTATTGACCATTGATTGAGGTGATCCGGAGAAGTTGTATTGACCATTGATTGAGGTGATCCGGAGAAGTTGTATTGACCATTGAGTGAGGTGATCTGGAATAGGTAATCGGGAAAGGTGATCTGGAAAAGTTGTTTTGACCGTTGATTGAGGTGATATGGAGATGTTGTATTGACCATTGCTTGATGTTATCAGGAAAGGTTGTATTTACCATTGATTGAGGTCATCTGGGGAAGTTGTATCTCACCGTTGAGTGAGAACACCCAGAAAAGTTCAAGAGGTTAATGATCCTTTAAATAGAATTTTGGTACTTTTTTTTATCTTAACTTTTCTTTTTTTACAAATTCTTTTATAGATTCAAATGCACATTTGCAGAATGTGCACGTACCTACAGCACTCATGGAAACCTTAAGACCCATGAGAAGACACACAGAGGTACTGTCTCTGGACAATTTTTATTATTATACAACTTTTTATCTTAGTTCTTTTAAATTGACATTTCAGTTTGAATTTTAATTTTGTTTAACATGTTCAATAATAGCAAAATGTTCAATGGTGGCAGAATGCTCAGTAGCAGCAGAATGCTCAGTAGTAGAAGATTCATTAGTAGCAGAATGTTTAAAAGTAGCAGACAGTTCATTTAGTAACAAAATGTTCAGTAGTAGCAGAAAGTTCAGTAGTTGCAGAAGGTTCAAAAGTAGCAGACGTTGATTAAAATTGTCCATATTCTCACTTGATATAATCTTTTAATGGGATAAAATGAATAACAGATAGATGATATAAATCAAAATCAGTTTATTCAATCAAGGAATATTGTTAAATGTATGAAAAGACAACAGTGGAGGGGAATGGTAGCACACATGCCTCACAACCACAGTCTAGTGGGTTTGAATTTTTTGGGTGTTGTCAGTACTTATAAACCAGTAAACTGATGGAACTGACTTGGCAGTCTGTCCTTAGTTATAAGACAGTAGAATGATGAAACTGACTCTGCAATCTGTTCCTAGTTATAAGACAGCAGACTGATGGAACTGACTCGGCAGTCTATCCCTGGCTATAGGCTAGTATAATTTTGGTTTTATCTTATAACTGCTATACACAATGAGGATCCACTGCAAATAAAACCTATTATGAAAGTCAACATAGTGGTATATTGTAGGATGAGCTGCTTATTGATTGCAGGTGAATTAACATTTGTATGTAACGAGCTGGGTTGTGGCAAACGCTTCTTGACCTCCTACTCCTTGAGGATTCATGTCAGAGTGCACACCAATGAGAAGCCATATGAGTGTGATAAACCAGGCTGTGAAAAATCTTTCACCACGATTTACAGGTAACAGACCTTTACACCTGAAGCAAGCCTGGGCAATTGTTAACAAATCCAGTAGGTCATAAATTAGGGCACATATGTTTTATCTATTCAAGGTCATAATTTAAGGCACATGTAATATATTTATTCAAACTTATAATCTAGGTCACATATAATATATATATTCAAGGTTATAATTTAGGTTACCGGTACATGTAATATATATCTATTCAAGATTATAATTTAGGGCACATGTAATATATCTATTGAAAGTTATAATTTAGGGCACAAGTAATATATCTATTGAAAGTTATAATTTAGGTCACAAGTAATATACCTATTAAAAGTTATAATTTAGGTCACAAGTAATATATCTATTGAAAGTTATAATTTAGGGCACATGTAATATATCTATTGAAAGTTATAATTTAGGGCACAAGTAATATACCTATTGAAAGTTATAATTTAGGTCACAAGTAATATACCTATTAAAAGTTATAATTTAGGTCACAAGTAATATACCTATTAAAAGTTATAATTTAGGTCACAAGTAATATATCTATTGAAAGTTATAATTTAGGGCACATGTAATATATCTATAGAAAGTTATAATTTAGGTCACAAGTAATATATCTATTGAAAGTTATAATTTAGGGCACATGTAATATATCTATAGAAAGTTATAATTTAGGTCACAAGTAATATATCTATTGAAAGTTATAATTTAGGGCACATGTGATATATATTCCAGATTATAGTTTAGGGCACACATATAATGTCTATTCAGGTTAATAATATAATCATGTTATAAAACCATTCTAGGCATTATGTCTTCATGAATCATTAAACAAAAAACTGGTACTCTGTCTTTAGTTTTGGCTTGAGCCATATTTGTACTGATCTTCTCAGTAGGTGCAATATTTGTACTGATATTCTCAGTAGGTTTTATATTAAAGTCTTGAATGCACTCTGACCTCTAGAATTAATTTTCCTTAGATTGCGCGCTCATGAACGCCTTCATTCTGGAGAAACCTTTAAATGTGGATCTGATGGTTGCACTAAATATTTTACCACACTCAGTGACCTCAGAAAGCACATACGCACGCACACCGGAGAAAAGCCATTTGTGTATGTAGACTTTGTTTCACTCAAACCGTTGTTCTTTATTTTAATATAAATATTTTAAAATGAATTTATTGTTTAATACACATTCATAAGCCTAGTTTTTGTGTAAATATTTTAATGGAACAAGTGAGTCAGTCTAGAACTAAATCATGCAATACTTGAGTCAGTGTAGAGCTAAATCATGCAACACCTGCAATGTCTGTTTAAATAAATACACTTGTTTGGTGTTGTTATTTTTTATTTTGAATAATGATTGGTGCAATATCTCCTCAGATGTAATGAAAATGGTTGTGGTAAGGCGTTTGCAGCCAGCCATCATTTAAAGTCCCATAACCGAATCCACACAGGTCAGTTGGTCACACCTTTTTTGTCTTTAATATGCTTGTTTTGAAATAGTTGAAAAGGCAATAGCAATCTTCTTGTAGTTTAACTCATTCCCTCTAGCAGTGCAACTTCCGTACTTAATTTATTTTCCTGAGAACAGGGAAGAAACACAGTTTTGAAATTGATTTACATTTTTAAAATATTTTTTAAAGCTGCTTAATATCAATAAATGTTAATGAATTAAGGACCAATGCATCAAAAAATGAATAAGGTTTAATAAAAACGTAACATTAGCAGCGAAACATTAATGAACAATGGCCAAAAAATTTATTTTTGGCACCTCGGATGAACACATGCTAGATATAGACGCGCCGTACTAAAGCACACATTTTTAAAAGTGAAACAAGATAAAAACTTGCGGTTTTTAAATTAAAACTAGAATCACGACATAGCCGGAAGTCTCGAGGGACGTGAGATTTCATTGCTATTTTTAACTAAAAATAAGAGAGGTGTGTTTCTATGCGCCAAGTCGCATTTGGACACATCCGTTGAAACCCCCAAAGGACGCATTTAGCTGCAACCGTCGAGAATGAGCTAAAACATTTCTCAGATTCCTTCAGAATATTTTTTTAATTGTGAGTTATAATTTTAGATTTGTGTGTCTATTTTATTTAAATTTTGAAGGGGTTTTATATTTCAATGTATTAAAGCTACACATTTTGATGTCAGTTTTAAATTTGTATACAAATTTTTAAAAAACGTATTTTTAAATTTGATACTGTGGTATGACTAGTTTTATTTTTGAAAAATATTTAGAGTCAGATGAATTGCATGAGATAATGGGAGCAATAATGTTCTATAGATTGGTCTTCTGCATTTACAGAATACAAATATTGGTTAGTTTGAATTTCTAGCCTTTGATTCTGTTGTAATAAATTTTGATTATAAAATGAACACACTATTATAAAATCATGAATTAAATAAATAAAGTTTGTTTTTAATCTAGTAATTATCAATGACTTCAGGTGACAAGCCGTATGAATGCACACAAGGTGGATGTTGCAAAGCCTTTACATCTATTTCTAGTCTCAAGTTGCATGTATCTAAGCATGAGAAAGATACAGACAAGGAAAAGGGTAAGTGACAAATTGATCTTTTATAAAGGGACAGAGACCAAATATGTTGTACAGGAAAGTGTTAAAATGTGTTGTAATGGCTGTGTTGAAATTTGTTTGTGTGTGACTTTGTTAAAATTTTTTTGTTTGCAGTACATAACTGTTGAAATGTGTTGTACACGACTGTTGGAAGGTGTTAAATATGACTATGTTAAAATGTGTTGTACAAGACTGTGTTAAAATGTATTGTACATGACTGCATTGAAATATTTTGTGTGTGACTGTTGAAATGTGTTGTACATGACTGTGTTAAAATGTGTTGTCCATGACTGTGTTAAAATGTGTTGTCCATGACTGTGTTAAAATGTTTTGTAATAACTGCTGAAATATGTTGTACATGACTGTTAAAATGTGTTGAACATGACTTTGTTAAAATATGTTGTACATGAATGTGTTAAAATGTGTTGTACATGACTGTGTTGAAATATGATGTAGGTACATAACTGTGGAAATATATTGTTCATGACCATGTTGAAACGTAGTTTACATGACTGTGTATTGTACATGACTATTAAAAGGTCATGACGGAGTGGTGGTAGAGGGGTCTAAACTGAGTCAGTCCCAAGCTTGTGGACAGGAGCTCAATCCCTAGCAAAAGCCCTAAGAAGAACAAAACAAACACCAGCCACACCCAATTATGGATGGGACTCATTAACCTTGGATGGCAGCTCATCTAAGAGAAGGCATACTTGGAAATCAAACCTGGAGAAGGAGACATCAACACAATGATAAATGTCTACAGAGCACAGTGAGACACAAGAATTATGTCTGCCCTTCTTCTGCCTCCTGTTCTATTTCCAGTCATCTTGACAGAGTCTTGCCATTGGATCAATGGGCAAGTACCAGTGAGTTAGAATGATGATGTGAGTGACTCTACCTCACTTTAAACAAAGTACAGCTCAAATCAAGGCTACTACTCAAGTCAAGGCTACCACTCAAGTCAAGGCTACCACTCGGGTCAAGGCTACCATTGAAGTCAAGGCTACCATCAAGTCAAGGCTACCACTCAAGTCAAGGCTACTACTCAAGTCAAGGCTACTACTCAAGTCAAGGCTACCACTCAAGTCTTGGTCAAGTGTGCAAAGAACAAACAATAATAAAATGGGTTGTTCTGTAGTGAGCAGAGTTTTTTTGTTTACATTGAGTGTAAGATATTTTTGGCATTACAATGAGTGTAAGATATTTTTGCCATTACAATGAGTGTAAGATATTTTACCCTTATGGCTACTTAATTGATTAAAGTAATGTTCAAAATCAGTTTCTGTTTGTTACTCAATAAGTGTTCCTTCATTATTTCATCTAGGCCATCAGCATTGCAACAACATGAGCTCTAGCCATGTGCTGGCAGATGATCTTGAGAACGCCAGCTCTAACAACACAACTGATGTTAAATGTGAACCAGGGCACGTAAGTCTCTTTCCCCCCCCCCCCCCCCCCCCCCNTTTTGTAAAATGATTAACACAAAAAGAATAAGTAGTGTGCACACTGTCAAGAGTATAGAGAATAAAGTGTGTAAAAAGTTTTTTTTTTGCATGCTGACAGGGGTATAGAGAATAAAGTACTTATACAGTATGAGGCACAAGCTGAATAAGATTTTAAAACTAGAAGATGACAATCATTATTGTAATTTTTCCATTACAGTCTAGACTGAGTGTCGAGCAAGTGATCAACTCCATGTATTCCTCCCAGACTGTCCAAGTTGGAGATGGTATGTCATTGTTTGGCCTAGTTTCCAAAGTGATGTGGCATGTCACTGCTATTACTTTCAGACTTGTTTACCCTCAAACCCTTAAAATCGTACAATATCATCATATAATCGTTCAATACATTCTCTTTATAGAGCAAAAACGTGCTGTATATATAATGTATACACCTCAAAATCGTACATTGTACGCCAAAATCGTAAGAGTAAACAGGTCTGTTACTTTTTTTTTTACCGTTTTGTTCAGACTTCTTTTTTGGTGGTATTCTTTTTGTCCAATGTACTTTCATGAAAAGTAGACTTGTAAGGATCTCTGAATTCATTTTTGATGAGATTTTTTTTATTTTGGCAGAGCCTATCATGATGCTAATGAAACGACCCTTAGAAAGAAATCTTTTCTTAGAAATCCTTGATAAAATGTAATATCAAGTACTAGGGGGTTTATCAAGTACTAGGGGGTGTATCAAGTAATAGGGGGTTTATCAAGTACTATGGGGTGTATCAAGTAATAGGGGGTTTATCAAGTACTAGAGGGTGTATGAAGTACTAGAGGGTGTATCAAGTACTAAGGGGTGCATCAAGTAATAGGGGGTGTATCAAGTAATAGGGGGTGTATCAAGTAATAGGGGTGTATCAAGTAATTGGGGGTGTATCAAGTAATTGGGGGTGTATCAAGTACTAAGGGGTGGATCAAGTAATAGGGGGTGTATCAAGTAATACGGGGTGTATCAAGTAATTGGGGTGTATCAAGTAATTGGAGGTGTATCAAGTACTAAGGGGTGTATTAAGTACTAGGGGGTTTATCAAGTAATAGGGGGTGTATCAAGTACTAGGGGGTGTATCATGTAATAGAGGTGTATCAAGTAATTGGGGATGTATCAAGTAATTGGGGGTGGTACTGAAAGTTTGATGAAACATGGTCACAAGTAACACTTTACAAGAAGCCCAATTTGTGGACATTTATTTCACACGCCTGAACTATATTAATAGTCCATTGATCCACCCACTTTTACTCAGCAGATTTATTGCATCATTTCAGAAAAACAAAGAACATATTACCCACCAAATGCCTTTACTATATTTTGAAAAAAATCTCCTAAGGTTTGACTAAACTAGGCTGTGCACATTGGCGATATTTATAGATATTTTATGGAGATATTAGGGTTATTTATAGCTATGTTATGGGATAAAAATTGTTAACAGTCATTGAGTATTGTATTTTCAATGTCAAAAAGTTCATATTATTCCTTGTTTTTCATAGAGCCAACTGATGGCATTGTACAAGAGCTACTTGAGCCTGTGATCCCAATAGAACCATGCCTAGAAGAGACTGTGGTCAATGTTAATTTAAACAACCAAACCATAACTATGCTGCCACCAATACAAGCGGCGGTAAACAATTTAATGCAGCAGTCTCAGCTGATCACACAGCAGTTGGCCTGCGGGCCCCAAGGATGTGTGTCTGAGACCGTTGATGTTGGTGGCGCAGTTAATGCCACGGAGCGATTGCTCACGCTGCCTGCTACAATCGCAAACATCCCAATCATCAATTCTGAACTTGTCAAAAATCTCTTGGGCACCAACAACACTATCATGGTCCAGGATCGCCACGGTGCAATAATGCAGATTCCCAGCTCTGTTTTGCTGCAGGATCCAACAGCACTTGCCAGCCTGACATCATCAATGGTCACCTCCCTAGGGCAGAGGATGGACACCATGGCAACTGTATCTGCAACATTCGAACCGTCAAGTATGATATTCAACACGTCTCTGTTAGGTGAAGGCAAGTCAGGTTTAAACTCAGTGTCTGACCAGCCAAGTTGTTGTAGCAAAGCTGCTGTTGTCCTGCCCAATCCACCAGCACTTCATCCCATGCAACAGATACAACAGACTCTGCACTCTAATCCTACCAAATTCAGAACTGACTTTGCGGGCTTACTTGGAATGCAAGCACATGAAGTTCAAGCAGCGCAGTTGAACAGTCAGCAGAATGTGATATTAAATTATAGTACTGACAATTTAGATCAAACTGATGGTGCTTCTATATCCTCCCTCACTCTCATGGACCCCCCTCGGACGACATCAGACGTATCTGCACTTCGTGACCAGACTGACAGTTTAGCTGAACCTCCGCCCGTTATTCTCCAATGCCCGCCAGTGGCTCACACACACATCGCATCTTCAGCAGCTTCATGCTCCAAGTCCTGCTCAACATCCTGCTCTTCAATAGCTGCTCTCTCAAAGTCCCACTCTGTGCCTGACAGACCAGCTCTTCCCCAAGATGGAACTCTGACTTCCGCCATTCAAAAAGGGATCCCTGTTTCCATCTTGCCTGGTGCCAGTCCCGAGTCCATTGTTCTCAACCAGGTCTTTGTACCTATTTATAGCAACACTGACAGGGGACCGGTCATTGAGCTGGTCCCAATCAAACACAGTGTTTGACCTTGACATTGGGATTTCTTTGCAGTGTTAACTCTCTTGAGACGGCTGCGCCGATCTATAGGTTCAGAGTGTGATGAAGAAAAAGATGAAAGGCCAATCTATTGGCCCAATACTAAAAGCCTACCAACTAATCAGATTGCTTCTCACATTTCTTTCTCATTTCCCCATTTTAATGCCGGTTTCCTATGATATTTTAGGGTGTTCTGTCATTTTGTATCAAGTTTTATATACCTACTGACATATAAGTGCTTAAAAAATATGTGACCTTGAAACATGCCAAAGGCATTGGCAGCCCCAGGGGAATTTTTACGCATCACATTGAATCTAATTCATATATGGGTTAGGACTTGTTTAGGTTTGAACAATCATAGAATATTTTTAAAGTAATTGGTTTATATTTTATAAATTATTTTTTTGCAAAGTAAATGCAAGCGGGGCTTGTGGAAAAGGGTCAGTCTGAAGAGGATTAATAATATTTTAACTCCTATCTTTCCTTCTAAACTTGAATGAAATATTTGAAATTGATTTATTGTTAGTTTCAATGGTAAATTTCTCTCCAATAAATACTTGAGATGAAGGTTCAACACAAACAATTATCATTAGTGTCTTATTTGGAATGTCTTTACACATACCGTCACTGCACACATACCATCACTGCACACATACTGTTAGTGTTTGCTACAATCATTGCTGGTGAATTCGACCAATTATTATTTTTTAAATTTACACCATTATTTGTATCTCGCTCTGATGTATAGGTTTGTATGCCCTATAATTGGGCTCAGATAGTGAGAACAGTGTGGACAGTTGCCGCCATGGTACTAACAGATCAGTGACATATTCTGGCATCACAGTGACATAATATTACATATGCTTAAGGTCCATCCATATAGTGCGTAGGCACTGGGGGGTGGGTCGTTGATTTTAGTGTTTTTGCATGCTGGGGTAGCTTTATTCCTCGGCAGAAATGACGGACATTTATTCACAAATTCTGTAATAAAAGTCCTGAAATTTGGACAGTCCATAAATAGCCTACTTATATATCTAATGCTTTAAAAAATATATTGTAATGTTTTGAAATTATTGTAATTCTTTTGCTTTGTGTTATGAGGAGTGAACTCACACTTGCTTTATATTGCACTAGTCACAGTAATGTTGAGTCCACTTTTCGAGTTTGTTTGTTGATCTATGTGTGACAATTACTTTGTTCGGCTAGGTCATTGGTCCCTAAAATTCTTGGCACCTTTGCCGAATTCAGGTTTATCCCAGTCTTCCTGTGTCGTCAAATTCTAACAAGACACTTTCAAATAGACAATGCATTTTTTTAAAAAATTAGTAAGATTTTGTATAATAAATTAATAAAATATTTATGCATGTCATGAAGCCAAAACAAGTAGCTTTTGCAAACACTGTAGTCTAATAAGTTAATGCTTTTCACCACATCTGCTATAAGTTTTGCCCTGTCACTGTTTTACACCTCGTCTGCTATATGCTGTGCCCAGTCACATTGGATTGAGAGTGGAAATAAAATGATGAAAATTGTAATAGTTGGTGGTGCCATGTGAGGAAGCAGCAGCTCCCAGGGCCACCTGGCACACATTTTGGAAATCCCTGGGCTAAGCTGAACATAAGTGAGAAAACCTTGACACATTTTTTAAACTGCAACGTCATTATTGTCAGTCAACACGTCATCATTGTCAGTCAACACATCATCATTGCCAGTCAACACGTCATCATTGTCAGTCAACACATCATCATTGTCAGTCAACACGTCGTCATTGTCATCATTGACAGTCAAATCGTCATCATTGTCACTCAACAACCTTATTTAACTTTTTGGAGAAGGGGTGGAAAGCTCATTTGTACATACACAGATAGGACCAGTATGTACACAGATAGGACTGATGTGTACACAGATAGGACTGGTGCGTACACAGATAGGACTGGTGCATACACAGATTAGGACTGGTGCATACACAGATAGGACTAGTGCATACACAGATAGGACTGGTGCGTACACAGGACTGGTCGAAAGTTCCATTGCATGTACACAGAGTATGACGGTCAGAAGCTCATTTGTACATACACAGAGAGGAGGGCTCTCTAAAAAAATGTGTGCAACCAGAAAAGGAAAAAAGGGGGGGGGGGGGGGGGATAAAATTTGACTCTTTTTAATACTGTCTGGATGTGTATGGCCCCTTCTATAACACTGCCACTTGATGACAGGAGTAAAGAATGTGGACAGAGCATTTATGTTATAACCATTTTTCAACTTCTTGTACATACACAGAGAGGAGGGCTCTCTAAAAAAATGTGTGCAACCAGAAAAGGAAAAAAGGGGGGGGGGGGTGGTGATAAAATTTGACTCTTTTTAATACTGTCTGGATGTGTATGGCCCCTTCTATAACACTGCCACTTGATGACAGGAGTAAAGAATGTGGACAGAGCATTTATGTTATAACCATTTTTCAACTTCAGTTTAATAATCAAACTGTAATCAATTTTCTAATCATGCTGTAATCATTCGCAAAAAAGGAAAGCCAGGTAGGGTAACCAACAAAAACTATTTAATGGTGCTATGTGTGGTAGAGCTATTAACATGTATGGTAGAGCTATTAACATGTATGGTAGAGCTATTAGCATGTGTGGTATATCTTATGTTGGATATCTGTTTGAATGACATGTAGTTCATAAAGCAAGCTCAACCAACACTCCCTCTGTGATCCTAGTCACTACCAAAAGTGACTTCACATATACTGTCATTTTAGATCAATATCTGATCATTGATTTCTCCCCCTATCATGGAATGTTTATCTACAGAAAATCCTTAAATCGATTAGACATAATTTTTGTGACTTATCCACATCGCATAAAAGGCAATCATCTTGTATCCCACCAACGGCATAGGTTGTCTACAAGAATTTTTCATTCATCCCAGAAATTTTCTTTCCTTTCCTAGCGTTGTTCTTAATCTCATAAATTGTGTGTCTGCCTCTATCTCGGGTCTCCATGTATTCTTTGGTCTTCCTCCTTTGCTTTTCCAATTTCCTTGTAGTTTCCATGTTTGGGATCTTTAAGGCTTCCAGTACAACCTGACTTTGGCCACAAGGCTCCATATATTTCAGTCCTCCAATTCCAGTATGACCTGACTTTGGTCGCTAGGCTTCATAACTTTTCTTGTCGAAGAAGAGTTATCTCTAGTCAGGGCTGAAATTTGTTTGTTTTTTTTGCGGGTTTTTTTTCGAAGTCACATATTTTTCATTAATTTAATGTGGACATTGTCATATGTTTCTCATAACTTAGATATGAACAATGTCATATGTTTTCAGAACTTAGATATGGACATTGTCATATAGAACTTAAATAAGGATATGTCACATTTTCATAACTTAAATGTGGACATTGTCATATGTTGTCAAAACATAGATATGGACATGTCATGTTTCCATTACATAGATATGACATGTCATGTTCTAATTACTTTGTGTGGACAATGTCATGCTTTTTTTATAAGTAAGATAAGGATATGTCATATGTTTGTTAGCTAGGAATATTAATTGTGCAGGTTATGGATCTCATTGTCAGAGGCATTTGTTTCCTATTGGTTGGTTATTATTGAAAAGTGAAACTTTACTGTAAGGCAGTAAACATAGAGTATAAGTCTTAGGTGTAAGGAAGTAAACATAGAGTATAAGTCTTAGGTGAAAGGCAGTTAACATAGAGTATAAGTCTTAGGTGTAAAGCAGTAAATATAGAGTATAAGTCTTAGGTGTAAAGCTGTAAACATAAGAGTACACGGCTTAGGTGTAAAGCTATAAGTATAGAGTACACTGCAAATGTGTAAAGCTGTGTGTGTATATATATAAATATAGAGTAAAAGATGTAAAGCTGTAAATATAGAGTAAAAGGTGTAAAGCTGTAAATATAGAGTAAAAGGTGTAAAGCTGTAAATATAGAGTAAAAGGTGTAAAGCTGTAAATATAGAGTAAAAGGTGTAAAGCTGTAAATTGTAAATATCGAGTACAATGCTAAGGTGTAAATCATTCTGGTCATTTTGTTTCAATGTACAGATTTACAAATATTTATGAAGATTTATACCAGATCTATACAAGATCTATACCATGTTACGAAATATCTGCTTAGTTGTTTTATTTCTTATGTTGAGAGAGAAGTAAAAGATATTCAAGTTTTTATTCCTAAAGAGGTTTGAGTCGTATTACTAATCTATGATCCAGTGGCATAGCTAGGGTTATTGTGACCCAGGGTGGGGCAAGCTTTTCGTGGCCCCCTTCCACGAATAAAAATTGCTGTGGGCCAAATATCCAGCCACTCAATATAAAGAAATACATGCCTGCCGGCCACTGTACCCTCCTTCCTACACCCTCCTCCTCTGCACCCTTTACCTCTTCACCCTATTCCTCACAACCCTCCTCCTGTCGACCCTTCTCCTCTCCACCCTCCTCCTCAACACCCTCCTCCTCCCCACCCTTCTCCTGTCCACCCTCCTCTTCTCCACCCTCCTCCTCTCCACCCTCCTCCTCAACACCCTCCTCTCCACCCTCCTCCTCCCTACACCAATGGTTTGATCACATCCAAGTTACTCACTTTTAAATGTCTTCTGGGGAAATTGTTTTTGTTTATACATATTTCTGGAGCATTTTATCAATGTTTCAATCAGTTACATTTGAAACAAGGAATGATGCAAGTGTTCTATTTTAATGCATTTTGTTTTTCAAATAAGGTTTATGCCATGTAAAAGGTATTACACAACAAGGTTTATGTCATTTAAAAGGTATTACACAATAAGGTTTATGCCATGTAAAAGGTATTACACAATAAGGTTTATGTCATTTAAAAGGTATTGCACAAGAAGGTTTAAGCCATTTAACCAAAAAAATTTGGTAGCAGCAGGTCAAAGTAAAGGCATTTTTTTTAAAAATTATAGGCCTATC